CACGCACGGACCGGAGCAGCGCAGCCTCTCCTTTGCAGCTCGGGCACGCCTGCGGCTTCTGCTGGCTGCAAGATTTGCAAATACTAATGCAGGCACGCTCCTTTTTGGGGTTGTCTTTTTTTCCTAGGCAGAATTGCAACATGAAGTTTCATTTGGGATTTGGCTTGGATGGACGGTGGGAGCAAAATAGACTGCAAAAAAACCCAAAAAGGGGGTTGGTGGTGGGGGGATGGGCGCTACCTAGGCCAGAATGAACATGATCACAATGATCATTATGATCGTGATAATCATAACACCAACAATAATAACAACAGTAATGATGATAATGATCATGATCATCATGATAGTGATCATCATAACACCAATAATAACAACGACAATAATGATGGTATGGATAATAATGATAATAATAATAATGATCATTATGATAGTGATGATCATAACAACAATAATGATAATAATGATAATGATTATTATGATAGCGATGATCATAACACCAATAATAACAACGACAATAATGATGGTATGGATAATAATGATAATAATAATAATGATCATTATGATAGTGATAATCATAACAAGAATAATGATGATAATGATAATTATAATAGTGATGATCATAACAACAATAATGATGATAATGATAATGATTATTATGATAGCGATGATCATAACACCAATAATAACAACAACAATAATGATGATATGGAGAATAATGATAATAATAATAATGATCATTATGATAGTGATAATCATAACAAGAATAATGATGATAATGATAATTATGATAGTAATGATCATAACAAAAATAACAACAATAATAATATGATGATATGGATAATAATAATGATCATAATAATGATAATTATGATAGTGATAATCATAACAATAATAATGATGATAATAATGATAAGGATAATTATGATAGCGATGATCATAACACCAATAATAACAACGACAATAATGATGGTATGGATAATAATGATAATAATAATAATGATCATTATGATAGTGATGATCATAACAACAATAATAACAACAACAATAATGATGATATGGAGAATAACGATAATAATAATGATAATAATAATAATGATAATTATGATAGTGATAATCATAACAAGAATGATGATGATAATGATAATTACGATAGTGATGATCATAACAAAAATAACAACAATAATAATATGATGATATGGATAATAATAATAACGATCATAATAATGATAATTATGATAGTGATAATCATAATAATAATAATAGTGATGATAATAATGATAAGGATAATTATGATAGTGATCATCATAACAACAATAATAACAACAGCCATAATGATGATACGGATAATAATGATAATAATAATAATAATAATGATAATGTTAATCATAACAATAATAACAATAACAATAATGATGATAATAATAAATGTTCCCCATCATGCAAAACTGCACATACTGCATAACTGCAAGAATAAATGACCATTTATCCAAGCCATTCCTAAATATGGCACTGACCTTCATAACAGCCAGCAGTTTCCAAAGAGACGTTTAAAGCAGCATCATTCTAATTTAAGAAACGGCTTTTCCTGGAGAGGGAGAATAAATATAAGAAAATAAAAATAAAATCTAATTTCTTCCTTTCTGATACTATAGTAAGCTTTCAGGGCATGTTTGACAGATGCAAAGTGGGTTCGGGGGTGGGGGGTTCAAACTGGGATGAAACGTGATGTGAGGCTTACGTGTGGAATGACAGCATTTGTCTCTAAACAAGCGCTAGGATTACTTGTGTTAAAAAGAATATGACGGGAAGGAGACAGATGATGAATTACTGATTAAAGCTATATATATTATAGATATTATATATATATATTTAGTATATCACATCATTTTTTCTTACTAAAAAGGGGGGCTATGTCATTTTACACTCTCCCCCACCCCTCACCACTGATTGGTTCAGAGAGATGCCCATTTTTGGGTCTGGCTCCTCAGCCAGTCCGCGGGAGGGGGATGGCCCACATGACGGATGGCCCTCTTGGCCAGTTTGCAACCAGGGGTGGGGCCATATGATGGACAACCCTCTCGGGCAATCAGCGGTGCCAATTAGAGGCGTGGGAGGGGCCTGCCACAATAAGCCCGCTTAAGTGGTGGTGGGCCCCGCAATTGACTCATGAAATCAGTTGCCTGCCGCCTCGATTTTGGTAGGTCCCTAATAATACGCATAGGGGAAGCCTTGGAAGAGCCGCCTAGAGGTGCTGGGAAAGCACCGCTGGAGATTTTGAAGAACATAGTAAAAGAAACCTCTGTCCGTGGCTAAAAGTGTACTCGATCCTTCTCAGGGGTTTGGACTGCTTATAAAGATAACAACAGTAATATTATAGCAGCACTCATTAGGCTTAGCCAGGGTCTTGGGTACCGCACAAGCACACATCAAAGACAAGCCCTAAAATAGAGGGGCGGTAAGCAAAAACCAAGGGAAAGGACAATGGCTTGACAGACAAGCAAAGGTTCGGGTAAAGAACTAGGACAACATTGTTACAGATGTTCCTGTTTCTAAAGTAAAATCTGGTTAATTATCACTCCAAGGGGACTGATGGGTAACGATGACTGGTTACCAGTAATTAGTCCTTTTCAATTCTTTGCTAGATGTATTTTTCATGTCATAGCGAGACATGGTAAGCAATGATGTTTGACATTTTAACAAGGAAGAAAAAAATTACAGAAGTTTTGAGTGCAAAGTATGTGCACTCCTACTCACTACCTAAGAACTGTCTGACGAAACAGATAAATGTTTAATGGACTTTTTTGAAAGAAAATTGCGGCATGCTCACTCTTTAAGAGTTACATGATTATGAGGGAATGAAATAATCAGTCAACTATTTTTTCTGTCTGCTCTTACATGGACTCATCATCAACGTTCCCTTTAAGGTTTAGTGATCTGTGAGCAATCCTGGCTGGGAGTGCGTGGGTATCTCGGCGTGCTCCCCACCCCACCGCCCTCCTCTGCAGCAGCTTATGGCTGGGTTGGGGTGGGTGGTGAGCAGCTGGAAGCGAAGTCGGTGGTGGTGGGGGGAGCATCAGCACCCCCTTGCTATGGCACTGGGCATCCCCCCCCAGGCTGGTGCCAGGGGTCCATGACCCCCTACTGCTCCCCATCGGTACACCACTGTGTGCGCGCCATTAAAAAGTTATCGCGTGACATGATTTTTTATTGTGCGCGGCCACACATGCACACAGCTTAGAGAGAACCGTGCTCATCATCCCAAAATGGAAGATAATACGGTGCTATGGTTCATTGTCTGCATCTGATCGAGTCAAAAAAAGCTGGAGTATCCAACACTTGGCAAGCACCAGTGGGCTTGACAGGAGCTTTGGGGGGCGTATATCTTTTAAGCAAATTAAATCATATCTTAAATCGTATCTTTTAAGCAAATCATATCTTTCAAGCAAATTAATTATCAGAAGGAAATCTATTGTGATTTAGTGTGTGTACATTTGGAACGGGCCGTGCTGTAACAGATAAACTCGCCAAAGTGTTTTGTGTACAAATCAATGGGACGCTAATGGGGATTCAGTGTACTGACTAATCAGACCATAGCGATGATGAGTTATCCCAGTGCATCATTAAACAGATTTCACTGTGTTTAATTTGGGAGTGGAGGTAGGGAGGGTAGTGGGGTAGTTATTAGGATAGGAGATCTCTCCCATAAGCGCGTGTATTCTAGGTGTAGCACGTGCAGATATCTTAAATGCTTTGCCTTTACTGCATCAACCAAAAGCCATGTGTAGAGGAAGAGACGGGATCTGTTTTAAAGAGCTCAAAGGGATCTGTTTTGAAGAGCTGGGCCAACAGGGACCTTTAGCATTTAGTGTAAACTTTAATGAGTTGCAGCTGATTGCAAGAGAAGTATTATTTCTTTTCATGGCCAGTTTCTACTTCTAAACTAGCTAAATCAGAAAGGTCCACTTTTAGAAACAGATTTTGCCCGCACTTGCCTTGTTAGCGTTCTCTGATGAATCCTTACCAAACATGGAGATTAGTGCACTGTCCAGATGAAACAGTAGGCTTTAAAAAAAAAGATCAAGTCCCTTTTGCCCTGACTTCTCCGAGTTTGAGAGTGCTGGTGCTTATCCTTTGTGCTTGCTGTCTTGTTGCTGGAAGATCTGGATAGCTGCTGCTGTTCCATTTATTAATCACATCCATTGTTTCCACCACAAGGTGAATCTCTGCTAGCCTGCTGAGCATCCTGAGGTCAATTCAACGTGCAGTTATACACATAGCTAATGCCTGTCATTTGCCAGGAACATGAAAGAATCCATTCAAACCTGTCTTACTTCCCTTCCCTGCTTCCCCCACCCCATCCATATACACCCTTTTTATTGCATCGGATAACTTAAAGCAAATGCTTGGCTGGCTGAAAAATAAACCCTCTTCCTAGTGTTTTACGGCAGGTGCCAAGAGCTGGCAGCAGGACTGATAATCTGGGATTATTGGAGTTTGGGGGTTGATGATCCCATTTTAAAGGGAACCCCCCTCCTCTCTTTATGGGGAGAAATGTGTTACAAAATATGGCAGTCTCTTTTTGGGTAAACCCCCCCAAAGGAACAGGGCAGAAGGTGACATCCTGCAACCCCAGCTCTATGTGGGTGAAGCAGCACCAGCATTGCTAAAGAAAGGTCTTTTCCTCCTTAAAGAATTGCAGTCTGAGCCTTCTCCCCATAGCTGCATACTGTTTCTCGCCCCATTTCCATTGACTCCCATGGAAATTTCCAGCAGAAATCCACAAATTGTCAAGAGAAAATATGCCAGATAATTCCTTCTCCTATCCTGGCCTGGGGAACCTCTCTGCATGACATTATTATGGGATTCCTGCAGTTCCCTCGGGAGTACAGACTGCTGCTCCCCTCGTTCCTTATCACATTCACCACCCAAGATCAGTCACCTTCCTTCGACCAGCTTCAAGGGCTGGAAGTACCTTTTTTACCAGGATCTGTGCAGGGAGCAGGAACCAACATCACCCAAGAACCTGGGGGGAAATGAAATCCCTGAGTCTAAATTCCTAAAACCCAAAGTAATACTAATGTGCCATCATTTGTGAAAACCAGATAATACACGTTAGGCAATACATGCAGCTTCCAAAGCATCTTTGGACGGAGCCCAGCCTCCAAACTAGACCAAGCAGCCTGAGCTAGCTTGTGGATCTATTTAATACTTTTGCCAACTAAAGATACAGTGAAGGTCAGGGGCGGCAGTCTACCAAGCCAAGCACATAGCAAGTCTCCTGTAGCTAGAAGCAGCGGCATTAAAAACTTGACGTGCTTAAAAGGTCCCCATTGCACAGCAAATTACATTCTCTCTTTGTCTCTGTCTCTCTTAAGACATGCAAGTAGGCTTAACAAGTCACTGGGGACTGAAACAATAATATCTCTGTATCTAATGCTTACTGTAATCAAAAGATGGATTACAAAACAGACTTTATTTTTAATTATTAATGTGCTGAACTAAAAAAATAAACCACAGAGTTGTATGCTGTTTATCAAGGATGAAAGGAAGAGAAACCATTCAGGAACATTAGTATTGTTATTTTAATTCTTTCTTTCAGACCTTCTCTAGTATATCGGTGATTAGGTGATACATAAAAAAGAGACCATGTCACGAGTAAGGTGAAGTAGGTCTAATAATTGGTATCCGGCAGTGCAGTAAATTACCGTGCTTAAATGCACGTGTAGATGGTGATGTTGGGATTATTCTATTCTGGCTCAGATTGAGCCGGAGTATGTTTGGTCACATTAATTGCATGTGTAGATGCGTCCATTGTGTGGCTGATTGGTGAAGCGTGGGGCTTACAACCTCAGCTAAGTCGTGTCCCACATGGGTTTATCCATTCCTGATACAGGGGCTGTAGACCTTGATCTGAAGCTATCTATTCAGGTTCCCTTTCTCATCCCTCCTCCTACTGTGCAGCATGTACCCTATGTACAAACTGGGTTGGAAGACAGACCGGTTTCCTTTGTAACACCAGTATTAGCCAGAACAGGGCTGCACAAACCAAGAGGAACCCCCCAGAACCCCCCGTGCTTGTACAATATGAGGTCACCCTAATAGGTCCTAAACATTAACATTTTCCATGGATGCCCCAGTATAGAAGAAGAATTTCTTAGCATACAGTTCTCTAGAGGTTCGGGGCTATAGAGAAGTCCATAAGTATGGCACGGTACGATGTCATAAATTAGGGCAACCCCTGGGATGCTGTAATTTCCCAAATCTCAGGAGTGCAAATATCCATCCGGGAACATGCCTTCTAATAGTGATTACTAGTGTTTTCAGTACACTGCACAGTGAGAGTGACATATCTGCCTCATCCTGCATTGGATCCCGAATTGCTCTTATTATACAAAATGCATTGCTTTTCACTGTCCTTATTTGTTTCTGTTTGTTTTTTACTATTGTGAAGTCTAAAATGGACATGCAAAGGAGCATTTTATTTTCAAGTGGGGCAAAGTGTTTTATTTTTAGGATACTCCTAATGAGGAGAGAATCTCAGGCAGTTCTTATCTCTTAGCTAATAATAGTGACCTTGCTCACTCTGAATGGTAGCAGTGTTACCACACACTCCTTTTCATGGTCATCTGTACACATTCAGGCATTGCATTATGCTTCTAATGATCTTCTCTTTAAAGCTGTTAGCAATTTAGGATGTTCATATTTTAATAGCAGGGTTTGTCCATAAGACAGTTATTAACTCCTTACTGTTTCAAAGTATTATTACATGGCCTTCCTGATTATAAATGTTACCATTATGGTTTTTAGTGTAAAGAAGTTTTCGGTGTAACCTAAACATCTGTCTATAGTTCACCATTTTAAAAGCACCATGAGATTTTTGACATGTGTTCTGTTCGCTACTGATCTAAACTATGCCGCTTATAGAAAACGGTGTTACTTAGATCAGTTTTGCCTCAGGCTTTTTGAATGTCTGTACCTAGCCTTAGTCAAATCCACAATTACATTAATCACAAATCAGCTTTTAAAATATACATTGATTTTAATCCACTAAAATATGTCAACTAATAGTGGTTTCCCCTTGTTCTAGATCAGATTGGTGATCTCTTTTCATACAAGGAAGTTATCAACGTGCAGTTATGAACAAACTGTAGATTTATTTTGACTGAAGTAAAGCTAAAGCAAAATACAATATTCTAAGACCTCAGTTTTGGAAGAGGTACACATATGCTTAATATTACATGCATTAAGTAGCAATGAGACAACTTGCAACTTGCAATCCTGTCCTGTAAAGTCCATGTCAAGACTTTGCATGACTAAGGGAGGGTGAAGATTTTATCCACTGTTTACAGAGTTGATTAGTTTGCAGAATCAGGGCCCAAGGTCTTTGATATTTTCCCCTTGTCATTTCTAACATTACGGATGAAAAACGGGTGTTAAAAGTTTTAAAGTCAGTGGCTATTTAAATATTATTACCAGAGGCCTTATCACCATGATAGATTTAATTTTGTTATGTTTGAACTTTGTACATATGAAGCATTTTATAGAAAAGCCTGCTTAGGCAGTGAAAGAGGACAGCTCTCACTTTACATCTCTACTGAAGTGGTGGACCTCTGTGGCATTGCTGCCACTTTAGATGGATGAAAATGAAATTAGTCTCAGCATGTTCAGTAGGAAACAAGAAGCATTATCTTCCTTTCTGCCTTTCTCTTTTTGAAAACATGAATTAAAGTTTGTGGCTTCGACACTGCCCTTAAAACCAGGGGATGCTACTAGTCTTTTCGGATGTGTTTTCTCACTGCATTATTCAAGAGCTGTGAAGTGTGATTTAGGAAGCGTAAATGGGAGCCCCGCAGAATTGGAGCTGTAGGATTTGACCTTCAAATGGGGTAATCGTATGTACTTATTCCAGTGTGTGGAATTCTATTTTGAAGATCAGGTTGAGATTTTCTCTACCCTTGTGTGATGATGTCTATTCTCCTTTGCCATTATTGCACCTTTAGGCTCAGTTGACCTAATTTTTACATACTGTACAACAGTGGTCAGCAGTCTTTTCTGGCAGTAGGCCCAAATGGCCAAGATTGTTTCTGAGGTGGGCTGGCATTACTCACTGCACCCACCTCTCCCTGACACTCATTTGGGCCATGGCGTGGACTAAGCCCATGCCACCAAATGCCATTGAAGCCCCAGCTTCACAGGCCAGATCCAATGGCTTTGCAGGCCAGATCTGGCCCATAGGATACCATGTCATGTATCCTCAGGTGTAACCTTAGAAGCAAAAAGATCACTCGGGCATATTGTCTTGAGTATTTCTTTTTCATAGAATCATAGAAGAAGGGTTGGAAGGGACCTTGTAGATCTTCAAGTCCGACCCCCTGCCTGGGCAGGAGGGAAACTGGGCTCAAGTGACCCCAGCCAGGTAGGCATCGAGCCACTTCTTAAAGAC